CCAGGCTCAATCACTGGGGTTCTTCTCTCCGTGGATAAACTAACTGTAGCTGTGTGCTAGTTAATTAAGGAGCTCTCAGGCTAGTTGTGCTGTGTTGTTAGGGACAGGGGATTCATCAAACAACCATAAGGGCCTGTAAAAGCTTTGTGCCAATAAACCACTTTGGTCCTTTCCCATTCTCTGTGCCACTGAAGTACAGCTGGTGGAGCTCAGACAAGGGGGAACAGTCCAGCAGTGCACAGGCCCCTGGGTTCAATGTTGATTTTCCTGACATGTTTCAACACAGATGGGAACTTCACATTTGATTGTGAATTCATGTCAGTGTTGCAATTAAAAGAACAGGGTTAATTGAAAGGATTCTTTTCCGGCTCCTGGTTTTGGGTGAAGAGATCTCCCTGCCCAGGCCAGCTGAAGTGTGACAGGAGGAGGAGCTGTCAGCACCATGCTGTCTCTCAGACACCTCTTTCCTCTCTGGCTCTCTTCGTGTTTGTTTGGGACAGAGGACTGTGCACAGAGCTGCCAAGGGCCTCCCATGCTATTAAATAAGGCTAGAGAGTGGCCAGCCCAGCCCTGAGCTGCACAGCTCATAGTCCCTGCTGAGGAGAGCTGCAGCAGTTATTCAGCCAGGTGAAAAAGGCTTCCTTTAAAAACAAACCCAGCAAACCACCAAACTCCATCCCTGTTTCAAGCCACAGTGCAGTGGGACAGGTCAGATGTCACCTGCTGCTTTTGAGACAGGCCAGAACTCCTCCCAGAGCCACGGCCAGGTGACCCTAAAGCTCAGTGGTCCTGCAGTTATTTGTTGGTGCCAGCTTGCTGAGCTCGTTCTGTCCTCCTGCAGTTTACCACGCCATCTACCTGGAGGAGATGGTGGCCTCGGAGGTGACGCGCAAGCTGGCCTTGGCCTTCAACATCCCCCTGCACCAGATCAACCAGGTCTACAGGCAGGGCCCCACGGGCATCCACATCCTCGTCAGCGACCAGGTAGGGACAGAGCCTGGCTTGGCCAGCTGCAGTCAGGAGTTACAGCAGGATGGAGCATTTCCTTGGGCTTGCTGCTGCTTTGCCACCTTCTCTGTTTGATAATGAACCTGTATTTTAATTTCATTTGGTGCATGCTTGTCCCTTGCTGAATAACACCAAACATACACTGTGCTTAATAGCTGGTATTTATTTCTGGTGTTGGGTCATATGCAGGAGGGTTTCAAAGCCTTTTGTTGTTGTTGTTGTAGATGGTTCAAAACTTTCAAGATGAGAGTTGTTTCTTGTTCACCACAATCAAAGGTACTGTGTCTTTTCTCATGCTCTAAACTAGAACTGTTGATTCTTCTAACCAACCCTAAAACCCACAGAGTTTGGGGTTTTTAACACGGTTTCCATTTGGCTTTCTAGTTTAAGGCTGTGTCACAAAATAGATGATTAAAGCCATACGAAGGATTTATTGTCAGCTTCTTTCTAGGCTATTAACAGTCACTGTCAGGTGAGGTGGGTGGAGTTCAGGAATCACTGCAAACCAGAGAGATTTTTTATCAGGTTACTTATTCTTCAAGTGTTTAGCCTGACTAGCAAGTTGGTGGCCTGTCCCACGTTTGGAATGTGATGTTTCCTAGCAGTCCTGACCTCCCCCTCACCACAAGCCCACAGCTGGATGGCTCGGTGCACCCCCTGCTGTATTTACAGTGCTGTTTCTGAAAGCCTGACACGCTTTTTCCCTCTCCAGCTGAAAACGGTGAAGGCTTCCACATCATCCTGAAGTGATGTTCCCACGCCTGTGAAGCGATCCTCCCACGCAGAACCGAGTCCTGCCTACAGATCACGAAGATCATCTGCCACCTTAGGCTCGAACTTCACCCTATAAGATGTTTCATATTGAAAACACAAAATGACCTTTCTAACGAGCTGTTTGATAGGTGAACTTCCTTATCACTGCCATAGCCAAGTGTCCTCCCGCGAGGGGCCGGGCCAGCCGGCGGCGCCAGCGAAGGTCTGTGCCCTCCCCTGAAATAAGGCAAATCACGGCCAGTAGGTGCAGCTTCTCCAGGCAGAGCACTCCCTGCTGCTCCTCGGTGGGGCTGTATCCAGTTGGAGATGAATGTAAAAGCTTATTTGGGGGCATTCACCTTCCTGCAGCAGCTGGCCTGTTCCTCGCCCGCACCCTCGGCTGGGTGTGGTTTTGGGTGTTAGCAGAGCACATACTGATCCGGGTGGAGACGAGGCGTCCGGCGAGAGTCACGCTGTCAGCACAGCTGCCCGTGTAAATTGTGTATAAGAGTGTATGTACAAGTGTAAATGCCAGAAGAGGGCTTTCAGGGAGCCCTAGACAGATGCAATATATGCATGCAGCAAACTGCATTATCAGTAGTACCTTGTCGGAGGGGGTGAATAGAAATCCCACGGGGTACCGAGTAATTGTGTTTTGCTTTAATGAATTTAATGGAACAGAATTGCCTATGCATCCTTTATGTTTAGTTTCCTAGGTTCTCTGCCGAGCGCTGCTGCAGTCTAACTCTTGGCTTGTCACAGGGTGGGGTTCAAAAGGGGAGCAGGGGGGGGAGGTGGGTGCTGGCACTTAGCCCGTGAGGGAAGGTGACCCACGAGCTGCTCCAGCAACACTCAACAGCTGCTGCTCGGGGGTCGGCCCCAGCTGTAGCTGCTGCTGGGGACAGGTCCCCCCCTCCCCGGGCCTGCTCTGAGCTGAGCTGTGGGTGCAGCTGCTTCCCCCTGTTTGGGGCCTTCCCTCCTGTCAGCTCCTACCCTCCCAGGGGAGCACTTCCCAAGGCGTTAAGTGACGGTTTCCCAGCTGTCATTTGGTGCCTTTGAAAAGTTCCACCTTGCTGTCAGGCTTAGAATCGTCGGCTTTCTATGCTGCAGTGTTGAAGGTAACTACTACTACAGCATGTGAAAAAGCAGCTGGGCTTTTCTCATTCCCTCTCTCACCACTGGCTCGAGCGCTTAGCAGAAACGCTTCTTAAAGCTGTAGCATTTTGAAAATTTAAATTCATCAAAGATAGAGGTTGGGTTGGTTTTTTTTTTTCCTACTATTTTTATTTTTTTTTTCTGCACTGAAAGTAAAATTTTATGTACTTCAACATTTCTGCCTATAAGTTGTTCATCTTTCTTTGGGTATTGTTTGGTCCTAGTATTTTCTTGAACTGACACTTGTGTCTTTCCAGCTCACACCGTATCCAGATCCAAATGTTTTATAAAAAGTGGAAAAATCCTTGATTGGAAAGTATCCAACTATCTAATTTTAAAGACTATTGAAAGTTGTACAGTAGTTTGTCCAGCTCACTTGAAATTGGAATTAAATTATGGCACCAGCAAATCGCTTTTGTTTTTTAATAAGATGTACACATTTCAATTTAAGTATAATAAATGTTTTTCAATAATTTTGTAAAGGTGCTCTTCTTTCTGTTTGCTTTTTTCCCCCCACATTAAAGCCATTTCATTGAGCTTCAGACCTACCCTAGAGATGGTGGCAGGGGAGTGATGGGAGCCGACTGGTACCAACCTTTATCCTGCACGGAGATCTCCTGCTTCTGACAGAGAAACCTGGTTAAATGGGAAATAACTGAAACAGATCCAAACCTGACATCAGCTGATTGTTTATTGACCTGTCCCATAGCAGAGTAGGTTCCATTTGGTTTTGTACATCTTTAATGCAATAGACTTACAAGGTTCATTATGTTCTTAGAAAAAAAAAAAATAAGTCAACGAAAGGCTTAACATCTTGACATACTGGTACCAGTGACTGAATAAAATCTGCTTAAAACTCCCCATTATTATAGCAGTAGCTTGATGGAGCTCAGAGTGCAGCTGAACAACTCTGCCCTGCTCTACAAAACAAGCCCCCCCTGGCTGCTTTTGTAGGAGTAGAGAAACCCACGTCCTGCCCTGGGAGATGTGATCAGCCTCAAAAAGGCACCACCTCCATTTCCCTTCCCCGTCTGTGGCTGTGGAGCAGGACCCCAGCCCAGCCCCCGTTACTCACGAGCCTCTCACGCTCCCTTTGGAAGGCAGCTGAAAACTGGGGGCACACACCATTGCAGGGCTATGCAGTAGCAGCTTCTCCAACTGCTTTTGAAGCCAGTATTTAGATCAGTTTTCAGTAAACACACAGGCCCTGAACTCTTAAAACGTACACACGCACAATCCATCTTACACAACAAAGCTTTCTCAACTCTCAAGTAGTTATCTCAGATAATATTAAAAAATTTCTGTTTTCTAACCCTCTAGCACTGACAAACTAAGGATGAAAGCATGGCCTTAAGAGTTAATACATAGATATTATTATTCTTACCAGTCAGAAGTTGTCAGCTTCTTAAATAACCCATATGTGAAGAGTTTGGCTCTCTGCCTTTGGAACACCACAGGTTTGGTTTGGTTCAACTCCTGCCTACAGTTCTAATCCCAGCTGCTGGAAAAGGGGGGGCAGGAAGCTTGCCTTGCATCCCTCGCTCCAGCATTGCTGCTGTGACCCAACACAGACTGAACAGCACCAAGCCCCAAACCTTGGGAAGCATCTCTTGAGGTACCCCCTTACCTTTTGACATGACTGTTACGTCCTGGATCGATTAGACACGAAGCTGAACCATGGAAAAGTTGAAGCAGTTTTGCTGTAAGAGCTCGTGGCTACCTCGCCAGGTCCTTTTGGTTAACGTCTGCTAAAGCTGATTTGTCCTTAACCCTGCTCTGGGGTGTCGTGTGTGCTCCAGAACAGCAGGTTCAGTTCCTCGGGGGGACCCACCTGAGCCCCACATCTCGTCACAACCTTCACCTGGAGGGAGCTCCCCACACAAACCAAAGCCTCACACCAGCTTCAGCCGCAGCTGCACGTTACCCTCAGAGAGTTTTACCTGGGAGGGAACCGAACGCTTTTTCTTGTCAGGAATCTGGAAGGGCAGCGTGAGGACGGGCAGGAAGCTCCTCCTTCCGCAGGGTCGCGCAGGCCCCTTCTGCAGCAACGGCCACCTCCCCCTCTGCTGGGGCCCTGCTGGCTGTCAGAGCAGGATGCAGCACCTGCAGAGCCGCTGGCCGCCGCCCCCCACCGAGGGCGGGGGGGTCACCGGGGCGAAGTAGGCGTGAACCTTCACGTGAGGTAGGTGAGCCTGCGGGGGGAAACCTGGTCACAGCCAAGGAGAAGCAGCAGCAGGGCTCAGGCACTGCCAGCCAGCGGGCTCTCCTAAGGGGGTTAGCTAACAAAGCTTCTGCACCACACTGGGCAGTATCCGAGCTGTCCTCTCCTGCCGTGGAGTCCTCGTGTCCTGTCCAGCACGGAGGAGGAGATTTTGTCACTGCATTCTGGGACCTCACAGCCCTACAACCCACTAACTCCAGTCTCCACGCTGCTGCGTTGCTATTGGCTCTGCTGTTAATGTATACTGTAGCAAAGTTAAAGAATTCTGCTACACAATCCTAAAAACACAGAAGCCTGTATTTGAAAACCCCTAGAAAGCAGAAGATGAGCACTCAACAACCTGCCAGCAAGTGTGTCAGAGGTTATAAACAGGCTTAGACAATTATAACTGCTCATAGAGAACAGCTCCACTTCCTCCCTACAGGTAAGGACCTAGCAGAAAAACCCTTTTCCCATCCTCCCACACCCAGGACAGCTGCAGGATTCCTGCAGTCCCCCCCACTGCCACCAGAACAAGCCAGCAGAGCCCTACCCTGATGCGCTTGATTCCAGCTCGTGTGACCTGCTGGCAGTCGTACAGCTCAATTCTCTCCAGGTTGTGGCAGTTCTCCAGGTGTTCCAGAGTCACGTCAGTGATGAGCAGACAGTTGTCCAGCTCCAGCACCTGCAGCCTCTCGTGACCACACGTACTGTTGCTCAGATGAAGGATCCCATCATCCGTGATCAGTTCACAGTGAGATAAGCTCTGGAACAGAGGCAAGCATTAGCAGCAGCCCTCCCAACAGCACGAGGCCTCTTCAGCCTCCTTCCTTCTCGTGGTTCAACAGTTACCAAGAGTTTGCAGCTGAAATCCAGCAGAGTAACAAAGGTGTTTCCTACCCACCCAAACAGCTGTACTTTATTTTTAACTTCAAAATGAGTCCCAAAATGTGTCACTGGCAAAGCTCCTCAAGCCCCCTGTGAACAGCACACCTGTGCCAGACACAGGAGAAGGCTTTAAAGGAGGATCAAGAATATGCAGGAACAGATGAGGATCTCCTGACAGGAGTGTCACAGCTACCCTGTTTTCCTGCACACCACCAGGACCAAGCCTCTGCATGTGCAGACAGATGAAGAACAGAGTGGATGATGTGCCAAATAACCATTTCAAAGAGCCATGAGGCACCTGGGGCTGCACGTAGAGGGAGTAAAGCAGCTCTTGTCCAGAAGCAGATCTGCTCTGCTTGTCAGCCATAGCAAACTACAAAATTCTGCTCCATCTATTTATTTAAACCCTTGAATTTGAGGAGCATGGAAGAAGCTGCAGCATGTCAGGCAGTAGCACCACATAAGGCCGTTTCCTGGTTCCTTCAGGGAATTCATGACTTGTGGAGAAGCAGTGATGACAGCCACAGGAAACAGCCTTTCCTGGGGGCAGGCTTAGAAACTGCTCTCTGTGGCCAGTGGAATGAGTGTCCTCCATCTCCTGCACCAAAACGTGCACAGAGCTGGGAACCCTCAGCCCAGACTGGTATCCAAGTCTCTCAGTGACTCATCCTGAAGCAGAATTTCCTTGCCACAAGTTTTCTGTGGACAGCAAGTGATGAAGGAACACTTGCAGGAACCCAAAACTGCTTTATACCTGCTGCTCAGAAGCACCTCCTGCCAGTCATCTCCATCAAAGGTGTAAGCCCTCCCTTCTCCCTGGCCATCACACCTACCTTCCCCCATTTCAGCCTGGGGACCACCACCTCACCTTATTTCTCCTCAGCTGGTCACAAGCATCTCTTGCCTGCTGCCAGACATGCAGGGTCTGTCCTGCCCTTGAGAACAACTTGCCCCTCAACTCTTTCTTCTCCTTTGCTCACCAGGATGAACAAGCCACCACAGGAGCTTCCCCTGGGCTCCAGCTCCTCCAGTCTCACCCTCCCCAAACAGGAGCAGTGAGCAGCTGGCAGTTGCAGGGTTAAAGGACGTGTTTAGCAGACCTGGTGCCTTGAGGAAGGACAGGAGGATATGTGAAGCCAGCAACACTGCTACCTAATTAAGAGTTTTCTGTCCCAGGAAGTAAGCAGCTTATAAAATCAGCTCTCCCGAGACACAGTTTGGTACTGAAAGGACAATACAGGATGTACAGCTGAGCTCCTGCAAGTGTGTGAAACAAATACCCCAGGTAATGTGTACTTTGTACCACATAAGCCTGTTAGAAAGTGATAATAACAGGGAATTTTACAAAAAATTCCTTGAAATCTCAGAACAAAGAGATACAGTCAAATTATTTTCACACATCAACAAAAGCCTGGAGTTTTTCTGGCTCCACTTGGGATCACAGCACAAAAACATCTCCACTGCATAAGAACAGAAAGTGTCCCCTATAAACAGCTCCACATCTCTTGACAACTCCTTACAGAAATGAGGGCAGACAAATAAAAAGCAAAAATAAAAAACAGCAATGAAAAATGGTGAGCTAGCTCCTCTTTAAAAGCCATCTCTCCTCACAGTGCTACCTTAGTAACACTGAGCAACACTAACCACAACACAATTTAATTAAGGAAGCAGCAGACCTCCCTTTAATCCCATCTAAGAACAGATTATAAAGATACTTGTTCTCTCTCACAGATTTGAAGCAGTTTATAAGAAATCTACACTTTTAGAACAACTGGCCCTAAACACAGGAGGCCTGTTGTAAGGACATGGTAATTCTGGAGCACCCTGACTGATGAACAGCCAAATTTGTGTCATTTGAAATTGGTTATGAAGTCCTGAAAGATCTAAGCAACCACTCCCTCGAGAACATGCTTTGAAATCCAGCAAGCAGGGTGCCCCACCAAAGGCACCTCATCCCTCTGGGATCAAAAGCCTTGGTCCAAAACCCTTCTGTAAAATACTGTGTAAATGGAATCCCTGGGAAAAACTGCCTGGATGATGCAAAACTGATCAGCAAGTGACCACATTTATCTTCAGTGGGTGGCTTTGTTTCTGCAGGATTTGATGTCAAGTGTCATGCTCCCTGAGAAAACCATTGGTGAACACTTCAAAGTACCCAGAAAGGAGCTGAGTACTGTCAGCTGAACTAAGTAATCAGCTATGACAGATGTTAACCATACAATATGACCTTTCTGGTTATGACTCACTGATTTGGTGGGTTTTTTTTAATCACAGAATGTATGTAAATATTTTCATCTGCTTTTAGAACAGTTACAAAACCTGCAGATGTTTTGCACAGTATCACACTACATCAGGGACCTTTTCACACAGGGAGTGCCCAGCCTGGAGTTGTCACCTGTATGCTTCTCTTAAAGTTCACAAACAAATAGCTGCAACTTACCAGTGCTTGTAGCTTCGGGCAGTGTATAGACAGTTGTATCAACGTGCTGTCAGTTATCTGGAAAGAAAAGGAACCAAACAACCATAAGCAACAGACAGCAGGAGAGCTGAGCCTCCAATAAGACACCAGCCGGAGGTGCTGTTCCTTCAGGGGAACACCCAATGCTTCCCCAGAGAGAATTTCCCAGTGGGGGTGGTTATTTACTGTCAGAACCAGCACTAGGAACAGAAAGCAAAGCCCATGAACTGCAAGTGCTAATGCACAGGGTTCAATATTCCCTCTCATACTAAACCTCACCAAAACACACTCTTCCAAATCCATCTTCTCCAGCTCGTGGCAATTCTGAAACAAAAAAACAAACATAAATTAGAAAGAAGCCTTAAAGACAGTTTGATTTGCCTCTGAATAGTGGAAACAGTAAAAATGGGTCCACTTTAAGGCTGGGAGAAAGCTGCACTTTGCATTTATACAAGTATTCTGAGAGATCCCTATCAAGCTTTCAGAAGTGCCTTCAATACCTGCTGATGACTCAAGGCAGTGGTGTAACCCTGTGCTCTGGCAGCAGGGCACAAGTCTGAAGCATTTGATACCATCAATATGCTCACATTACACATCTACAGTATGAATCAGGGCACAAGTGCTTATAGTTTAGTATGTATAATAGGAGAATATTTGTAACCTAAAGGTTTGCTCAGAACCATCTATTATAGGGTGATTTTTTGGGTGTCAATGCTACAAGGGTATGTGTCATCTTCACAGGGGAAATTTGTCTAGAATAAAGATCACAAGTTTAGAATTATGTTAAACATCATAAATTGCATGGGAAAAGAATTTAAAAATGAGGGGGAAAAGTGAAAAAATCAATGGTATGTGGCAAAATAGATGAAGTAACAGCTCTCAGTATAATACAGAAATAATTATTTTAGTGCCCTCTTCCACTGGGTTTTTCCTACTTTATTTTGCTCCTCCTCATACCCTAGGTCAGCTCCTGCTGCTCAGCAGTGATGAGCTCATGGTGAGCTCTGACCCTCTGGAGAGCCCCTTACCCGTGCTAAAAGGGTGAACCCAGCATCTGTCAGGTGGGAACATCTTGCAGCTTCCAAAATCCTGGAAAAGTTTGAAATGTTAAAGAAAACGTTAACGTGGACAACAGCAAATGCTTCTGAGATACAAATCTGCCTTGTGCAGCTCAGAGCTCCTGGCAGCACATGTAAATTGTACAGACAGGGCTATTTTTCACAGAGATTGGCTACCAAAAACCTCTAGGCAGACTTCTGATCCAGCTTATCAGAAGATTCTAATAGTCACAGAGCAGATTAAGTTCAATCCTCAAATCTTCTCAACATTTAGTGGGAAAAATGATACATATTTATGGGCATTTTAACCTCTTGTTTCAGCAAGATGGCATAATGCTCAAGTTTTCTCATGTCTGAGGAAAGAGATGAGACTAACTGCTGAGATAAGGAAAATGCAGATGAAGCCTACATCTAAAGCCTGTTCTCTAAACACAGGATGTTGGGAAGCCACAAAACTGAGCAACTGCTTACTAGAAATTCACTCAGGGCCTCTGCTGGAAGCACAGTGAAGCAAGTTACCAGAAAGCAAGGAGCTTAAAACCTCCAGTAAAAACAATCACCCACACCAAGGCAACCTCAAAGAAAACAAGGCAGGGATTGGACAGATAAACCCAACACTCTTCCAACAGGCACTGGGCAGCAGTACTGACCAAAAACAAAAGGGCATCTGCCCCAAGGAGCACCACCACGAACCAGCAACGTTTTGTTGCCTTTATTTTCTTCTTCTTTTTTAATGAACACTTTCTACTTTACAGGTAGAGTGTCAAGATGAACAAGGGGAAGCCACAACACCATGGAATGAGCAGCATGAACTACACACAACTCACTCAGTCAGTGGGGAGGGGGCAGGGAAGGATGGACAGAAAACCTCTCACTCTGGTGACACTCAGAGGCATCCAGATCCTTCCAGTGGTTTAGGAGGGCGTTGGGAAGCTCTCTGGAGAGAAGGTGCAAAGGGAAAAGCCAGGCTGTGTGCACAAGAACACCACAGCTCCACCAGAAGCCAAGAGGTGGGACTGTGGCTTTGCTGGGTCAGCCTCTCCCAGGCCAAAAGCAAGAGCAGGGCTGATTTCTGAGGTAAGCAGCCCACAGGACACACCTTGAAACCCCCATCCAGAGTGCTGCTCTTCAGCAAGGGTCAGAAGTGTGATGGGAACTCAGGAACAGCCAACAGAGAGGTACAGAGGGGGTACCCCCTCCTCCAAGATACCATAGACATTTATTTCCCACCCAGGGATTGTCACAAAGTACTTGGCACAGGAGCCTGTGAGGCTCTGTGAGACCTGAGAGCAGCCTCCCCATTCCTAGAGAAAGCCATGTTCTCCAAAACAGACCTCACAGTTACCTCCACTGTCTGCAGAGGTCTTTTCATAGATTCACAGAATCATTTTGGTTGGAAGAGACCTTTAAGATCACCAAGTCCAACTATGACCCCAGCCCTGCCAGGTCCCCACTGCCCCGTGTCCCTCACACCACATCTCCAGGGCTTGGAAACCCCTCCAGGGGTGGGGACTCCACCACTGCCCTGGGCAGCCTGGCACAGCCCTGGGCAACCCTGGTGGGGAAGAAATTGTTCCTCAGGGCCAACCTCAACCTCCCCTGGGGCAACTTGAGGCCATTGCCTCTTGTCCATGTTCACAGCTGGAGTGTCCCTGCACACAGCAGCTCCCTACTCCTCATGAGTTAGCAGCAGGTGGGAGAGAACATCAGTGGGGATAAAGGCAGTAAGGTCCCATTTTCCACACCACCACCTAGGCAAAGACATTCATGGGTGCTCTTCTTAGCAAGCCTCGCCAAAACACCTACCAGTAGTTTAACACTAAAAAGTGCTACAACAGAAAAACAGAGAAGGTATCAAGCACCTAGATGAGGAGATATTAAAAGGCATGAGAAGACAGCTGGCAGCTCTATCTTGATGTAGGGGAAAATAACAGCTGAAGGGAGCTGGTCAAGCTTAGGATTTTTTTCAAGGAGATGTTATTCCCAAGAGGTGACAGCTGCAGAACACAGCAGTGTCATGGAAAGCAGCACAGTAGGACATCCAAGACCCTGAAGTGAAGTGAGAGCAGCACAGAGAAGACTCAAAAGCTTTTGAACAGTGTCAGCACATCCAAGAGAGGCAGGAGAGTTTTCTCTCATAGGCACCAAACCACTCAGAACACGGGTGGAATTACGTTTCCCTTTCTTTTCCGACCTTATTTTTATCAAGTACTCTGCATACGTGATCCCAGAAGCCTAGCAGGAGGCAGCTGCAGCGCCTGCTGTTGCAGAGCACTCCTCTGCAGCGCTGCCTGCCCCGCTGCTGTTCCTCAGGAGCACGGCAGCCGCCTTCCCCCTGCCGGCACAGGCAGCGGCTAGCAGCTTCCCTACCCAGGGCACAGCGGCTCCTGCCAGAGCTGCACTGCCCCTGGAAGGAGCTGCGCAACCGACAGCGCTGTGCGCCTCCTTTCACTCCCAATCTGAGCTGTGAGCCGAGAGGAACTGCGCAAAAAGCTGGGGAATAACAGCGCGGCTTTCTAAGGAACACAATGAAGGGTGTCAGGAGGCTGCCGAGCCCCTAACACTGGCACGTGTAAGCTCCGGTGGGTACAAGTGATGGCATGAAGGGACCTGCCACTCAAGAACTGGCTTAAGGAATAGATTTCCTGCAGCAACAAAAGCAACTTCCACCCCATCAGCTAAAGGAACACTGTGCCAGCATGCTGCATGCTGCCATTTACACCTAGCTTCCCCTCATTGTCACACTCTACACTTTCCTCCATTTATCCATGACTGGAATTTTGACTCCTGCACATTTCTGTCAAAAAAGGCAATTTAGTGCAATCCAAAACGCTTTTAATTTACATGAAAATTAGACCTTACAAAGAGTATTATGTCTCTGCAGAGATCTGCTGCATGACTGAGCTCTCACTAAAGCTGAAGCTGTCCTTGCTTCTGAGAACACCACCATAACACAGACGTTTGTGTAAATCACACCCACGTACAAGTTTGGATTAGTTTTAACTAACAAGCCCTGTTATTCAAAACATAGAATTTAAGACAGCCAGGATGTACTGCAGAGCATATTCTAAACACATTGATAACAAAAGCTGTAAATATAATCCTCAGGTATGATTTAGCTATTTTTTTTCAAGACAAACGACTGCATAAAACCACATCAGAGTACAAACATCACAAGACAGCACAACTACAGATGCTTTTACCTTTTAAAAAAATAATGGGCTTTATAGCTTCTTTTCTTCTGGCTTGTAATTAGTACCTAAAATATTTACCTAGAAGCACAGAATTGAACTGCTAGGTTCAATAGGTTTTATTTGTCATGTGTTAATTCTTGTTTTTCCCATCCACAGCAGACTACATTCATGGGCTAGTTACAAAGGACCAGCTCTCAAGTTCATATTCAGCTGGTACCTCTAACAAGGTTCTGATTCCAAAGGTAACACAAACACCACAATGCTGAATTACACCTGTGGATGCCAGTGACCATCTCTTAGATCAGGCCCCTAACAACATGACCAATGACATGCTCAGGACAATACTCACTTCAGCCTTGGGCAGTTGAGGCCAAGTGCAGTGAGAGAAGCATCTGTGAGGTTGCTACAGCCTGAAACACAGAGGGACTGAAGTCTGTGGCATCCTCTGCAGATTTTTACAATGCCTTCATCTGATATTTGCTGCAACACGGGAGAAGGAAGTTCAACTTACTCTGTTATCCATTAACAGCTAAGAACAAAAATCAAGGCATATTACTGAATTTTTAGTGTCACACTGGGCACAGCCATAGCAACCTGGGCATTTTCAACCAAAAAGTACCATCCTGAAACCATCTTCATTGATAACATTGAAGATCACACACACAAGTCCTACTTGGTGATGTATTTTTACACAGCCCTCAAGCACAGCTCAAAGGCAATCTGAAGCACAGAGTGAGAGTTGTTTGTTGCCTTCCTTTTTCACTTTGCTTTTGGTTTATAATTTTCACATCAGTTTTGTTTTAAATTGCAGCTGTCACTGTGTGAAGTAACTTGTAGTTTATAGAGTTTGTCTCTTTCATACCAGTGACTGTGTAAGTTCAGGAACAGTGCAAGCAAGAGCTTAAAGCTTGACAGCAGGAGAGCTTACTACCCATTTTGCCATGGAACAGTAGGACTCCAGGGTAAAGTCCTTCACCTCTGGAGAATTTTCAAAGCAAAAAGTACAGCTAAACAATTATACAGAATCCATTATTTATGGAAAATAAATCATAGAATCATAAAATTGTTTGAGTTGAAAGGGACCTTTCAAGGCCATCTGGTCCAAAAGGGATCTTTCAAAGCCACCTAGTCCCACCCCCTGCAGGGAGCAGGGACATCTGCAGCTAGAGCAGGGTGCTCAGAGCCCCAGCCAACCTCCCCTGGGATGGTTCCAGGGATAAATGTAAAAGTCAGGTTTGCCCTCCCCTATTTTATGCTAGATATTCTGAAAAAAGTCACCCTGAATTTGGAATATGAATTTAAACCTTTTCTCTTTGAAAGAGGAACTGCAAGAAACAGCTCCAATGCAGCTGCACACAAAACAGCAACAGGAACTGGGTTATTTGAGGTGTGTCCAAATATTTTCTTCACAGGTCTTCTATTCTGGAGAAAGTATTCTCTCCTCCTCTCACCACTCCTAACCCCAAGAACTTAATTTTTCTCTTGAATGACTAATCCCTCATGATTTAACAGGTTATTTTATTACCTGGCCTAACATTACTCTTCCATTAAGAACAAAAATCTCTACTGTATTTTGAATTGAAAATGCACATTCCTTTTACAGGCTACTCATCTAGGTGGGCTAATACTAATATAACCTACTTCTGAAGCTATTATCCCAAACATTACCTGTCAGAGATGAAATCAAGATGAGGAATGGCAGGAGCTCAACACAAAGAGATCCCCTCGTGCTCTCCCCCATCCCAGCACTTTCTAGTATCAGAAGTTTGTATTTGCAGTTTTTTTCTGTCAAATAAACATTATTCTAGACAGAAAGCTGTAAGTCTTGTCTTCTTTTTTGTGGATCCAGAAGGATTTGCATCATCTATAGATAAGAAGAGATGCTGCTTTTTTCCTTTCTTTTTAATTGAAAGTCCAATATCAATCAGGTATTTCTGGACTCCACAAAACCATGTTATTTTCTGGACCTGTTCTGTTACCTTTGAGAGATACTCATGACACTATTATTTGGCAAAGGAACTACTCTGGAGGCAAGGACTATGTGAATTTCATGCTGCTGCTGAAGCTGAACAAAACTCTCAGGCTATATATGAAAATTTTCCATTCTGGAATTGCTTATGATTTCATTGCCTACATCTCTCTCAGGAAAGTCCTCAAAAAAACCATGCACATCCCCAGTTTCTAGAACTTTTCTCTAAAGATAGTGCCTTTCAAATGTGCAATTTCCAGAGTAAGCATTCCACACTTTCCAGCTTTCATGTCCATTATCTTTAATTTCAGACTAAAGAATCTGAAAAGTGTCTCTCTTTAACTAAACATCTGGCTTATGGAAGCTCAAGCTTTGCAGTCATACTGTTCTTAATTTCTGCAATTTTTAAATGTGACTTTGAATGATCCCTAACACTCCAAAATGTTCAACACTTGAAAGAAATCTATGAGCTCCAAAAATTTTCATGCAATCCTAAGAAGAAACGGCCTCATGCCACACTCATTTAGGAATAATGTATAAAACAGATTTGGAAGTTTTAGCCTAGGTAGATTTTTATTCTGGCAATAAAACTGTTGAAAATTTTCCAAAAGGAAAAAAAAAAGGGGGGGAAAAATCAACAACAAAATCCAACTACATTATTCAAATTTGTGTGATGGAAAGACTGAAATTCTAGTTCTTTTCAGTATTTTCTAAGATTTACAGCCACAGAATGACTTAAATACATTTAAAATCTAAAAGGAGACCTTTCCCATTCCTAAAAAGTCACATTGGGAACAACAAAAGTAAAGATAAAATACAGCAAATTTAATTTTTTGGGTAGTAAGTAGAATTAAAAGCACATAAATCATTCCCAGTCGTTCCATTACAAATGGATGTGTCTCTTCCATTCCTACTGAAAAACACACCCTTCTCCTGCTACTTAGATGGTTCTGAATCATTTTCAGTTATGATGCCATTAGAATTTACTCTCAATTACATAGCCCAGAGTATGATTTCTGCTCAATTAGGAACCTTAAAATTCTGAGCAGACCATAATGTTTGACCTTAATGGATGGGAGAACAAGAACCACATCTGGAGCACTGCATGGTTTGGTGCAAACACTTAATGACATTTGAAGGGATGCAGTTAATTCTTACTCTAGAGCTTGCTACAGTTAAAAGATATAATGAGGGGAAAAAAAATAACCTAAGACTCCAAATCCACATTGAGCTGTAGAAACAGGGAGCTCATTCAAGACCTCTATTACACCCAAAACCCTGTACACTGCAGAGATGTACTGTTTGAATCATTCAAGTGTGAAGCAGATCAATTCACAAGCACTCAAAAATAGTTTGATTTAGGGAACGTGCATCACAAATCTTCAAATACTCACTGTACAGGATTGCAAATTCAGGATTACAAGTTCATGACAGTGATTCTGAATGTGTTTCAATGCTTCATCTTCTAGCTGTATTTAGCAATTGAATCGGAGACAGGAAAAGAAACAAGGAATTAAAAGCACAGCAAAACAGCCCAAAGCACGTACACATCTTGTAATACTGAACAAAAGACTATAACAAAAACAGTATTTTTTAATTCATGGAGATTTCAAAAACCCAAAATAAAATGTTATTCCTAAAGGATCACCCAAGCAGTTATGTACCTGTGTGCAACCTCTAAGAAATAGAGCTTTTAGTCCACTACACCCTTTCACCAGTGCTTCAATACCATCCTTCGTAATCTGATCACACCAGGAAAGATTCAAATGTTCCAGATTTCTGCAACCCTCACTGGGAGAATTAAAAAAATACATAAAGTTAAATCCAGCCTTCAAATAGTCATAACAGTGGGAAACCCAAATTAAACACACTGTTAGAAATTAATGATAGCCAGTGGACTGTGCCAGGCCTCCACAGCAAAGTCATGAGAAAAGACCACACACAAACATCAGTCTACACCCAAGAAGTCCTCCACAGAGGAGACAGGCAGTGCTGACACAAGTATTAAAGCTCAGCACTGATTTTTTTTTTTTACTTTATTAAAGGTTGAACAGCTCTTTAAATGCTTTTAACACAAAATGCTGAATCTTCTTACCTTAAGCCTTTCAAAGAGCTGTTTGTGATGGCTACACAAGATGTCAGATCCAGATGTTTCAGCTTGGAACAGAATCTGCTAAGACTGTAACACGTGCTGCAAAACAGCAGACACACTAAAAATACCTTCAGCTACTTCTTTTCCAAATTTTCCCAGCCAATAAAAAACCCCTTTGACTTACCTGTCAGTGATTTTGGTGCACCCATTGAGATTTAAGTGTTCGATGTTTCTGCAGTTCTGTGCAAAGGTCCTAAAGCAGCAACAAAAAAAAGCTGGAGAATTAGCATGGTGTCTGAAGCTGTGATCTGGTCACTAGAGTGTGCTCTGGCCCCTGCCTCCTGCTACCTCAGACAAAAACCTTCACCTGATAGCCACACAGTACACCTCAAACACATCTGTCCCAGTGGCTGCTTGCTCCTCTTCCCATTGCAAGTTTCTGTCTTGGGTAACTGCTGAAACCAAGTGGTGTCCTTCTCTCAGATACCCCTCGAGCAAGGTGTTTATTCCTGTCAGATGTAAGCCAGAACTGATCTCCTTCAAACACCTTAACTAAAAACATTCAGGGTATCAACAGAAAGTTTTAAATATTAAGCTGCTGGGGAGGGTTTCTGCACATCTCATTCCTGAAGCCTTTGTAGGGTTTATTAAGGGGCTCACTCCCACATCAAATGCAAAGGAACATACCTTGAGCAAATCAGAAGTGGGACCAAAGCTTATCAAACAACACTGTGGGGTGCAAATTAGTTATTTATGATTTTAGAGATTAAAATGCATAAGTTTGCACTACTGGGTATGAACTCTAAGATGACTGGAGCTATTATACTGCTCGAAGCCTGTATGTGTCATTATACTAATTACCTAGAAGAAACACACTTTCTTTTGATCTCTGCAGAGGAATATTTACAGCTGCAGTACATTTCAGCACACGGGTTTCATGCCCGTGTTTCCTCCAACTGCACGGATTTTACTGGCAGGGGTGGAGGAAACACAAAAACAGTTTTATCTGGAGCCTTGCTGTGGTTAACAGATCCGACCACGCACTCGGCTGGGAACAACTTCCTGGCTCTCCAGTGTGGATGGAAAACAATGGGGGGGGGTAAAAAACAGCAAGCAGTTACACTGGTGAGAGTTTCCACTTGAATTCTCAAAGCAGCTATTCCAAAATTCATTTACTGGAGGGAGATTTACAACCAAGACACTCTTCAAATCATGTGGAAAGATGCTACGCTGCAGAGGAACAGCAAAGTGCCTCTGAGAGTCCAGCGTGGGGCATGTCCTGAGAGAGCTGCCTCACACATTCAGGACTTCCAGAGCAAGGACCTGCTTCAATACTTGGCTGTTTGAAAACAACAGCTGATGTAGGAGAAGGATAAAAAGAGAAATGAGTATCACCTACAAAACTAATGGATCTGGAAACAACACAGAAAGCCCGTTAGGAAAAGCTGCTTCCAGAACAAGCATCTGAAAATTAATGCCACTGTTCTCATGCTAATATTTTGAAAGTCTTAAAGCTCAGGCATTTATCATTCATTTGTTAATCCCAACATAAGCTGCTTATATTTCAGAGGGGAACCATTTTTCTTCCTAAAGTGTCTTAGACACCACCACCCGGGAGACCTTCTTGCAGCCTTTCAGTACTTAAAGGGGCCTCTCAGAACAAAATCTCTGAGCTTTTATTTCCACCTAAGAATAGTCAGACTGAACACCATGCCCAGTCTGACAGTGGAGGGAATCAGCTGCAGAAAGCCATACCCCAGGGCTTCCTCCACATGTTCTCTGAGCACAAAAGCACTCGTGGCTTAGGGACCCTTTGGCTGGAGGCAGGAACTTTGGGTTCAAATACTCAGCAAAACACCCACAGAACAAACTGGCTGAACAGTGTGCATGTAGAAAAAGCTTAGGTGGATTCAAATGATCTTCTGCAGAGTTCATTTTATATCCTGGTGTGCAGGATGGCCACTGTCTCCCATTCAGAGACTCCTGAGATGCTCCTGTTGCCTGCCTGTTCTCAGATTGGAGCCAGAAGAGAACCCCAGACCCCTTCCAAGCTTGTAGGCACTCCATTGTATCAACCTTTACTCTCCCTCCTGTTTCTAGGTTCACTTCTTGTCCAGACTAGAAGATAAACTACAAACTGACTGATGCAATTAATATTGTAGGGTGCCAGAGCATAGGTCTGGAAACATTTTAACTGCTTGGAAAATGGGGAGATACCAACATAATAGTAATAAAAGAAAAAGGCATTTCTGAAAAGCACAGTTCTCCTTTCTTAGGTCATTTCTAGAGAATAACAGTAGCTATACTTGCATCTCAAACTGACATCTCATTTGCTCATTATTAAGGTACTTAATATTTAAGTACCCCATTTTGGCCATTAGTCAGCACTTAGAAATCCAAACCAATGTAACAATAATTGCTTCTGGTTTGGACATTAGGAAACAAGGATGTCTCAGTCTAGGACTATACTTACTTCAAAGAGGAGTCTCCAACACCAAGACATCCCCTCAGACTAAGTTGTCTCAGGAACCCACCACACCTTTTCGATATATTTTCCACAACACGACCCTTAAACCAAATAAAAAGGAAGATTTGAGTTTTATTCTGCCATAATATTGTAACCCAACTGAAAGTGCTGGGAATGAAGACCAGCCCCAGCTATACCCCACCAGAACTACCTCTCTTGGAATTTTTTTTGCCACTTTAAGAAAAAAACAGTTACCTGCTGAGAATCTCCATTCAACACTGATGACTTAAACAGGACTAACACCTAACAGCAGCTTTTATTTCCTTTTCTCTTTAAAAATAAAAATAAATTACAGGTCAATGGATTTTTTTTGCTTTCCTCTCTATAAAGGATGGTCAAAATTTTACTCTTTCAACTCTAATACTAAGGTCTTGGCTAGCACCATGAGAAAATATCTTCTTATCAGAGCTTGTTTCTTAGTCCATAAGTAACATTATCTTATATGTCAGCAGAATTTACACCAAACCAAACTGAAATCATACAAACAAGATGATGTATTATTTAAAGCTTTCTCATTAGTCAGAATTATTTCTCAGCAGAGGTGGAATAAATACCTTTACTGTAAGGCTAAAATCTTCAATGAATAACATATCATGCAAGTTCCATCTGCATTACAGAAAAAAAAAGCCAAACCCTAATGCATTATTCAAAGAAAATACAAAAAGAATGATCTATGTTTTCCCAAACTCATATACTTCTTTAAGCATGTAAAAAATCCAACAAACAGCATATTAAAGAGGCAACTTAAGTGTATTCAAATGTGTTCAGCTGTCTGAATAATTCAACGTTGCTCAAAAAACTAGTTCTTCAAATTACCCCAGCTTACATTTGGTTTCACATACCAAGAAATCTTAAGGCAAGTTTAACTTCAAGAAGATCTTCACATATCTTTGTGATAGAAAATAAACATTTTTTTTCTTTATAGGGTTTATTTTTCCTCACTTCATTCTCTACCACACAGTCATTAATATATAAAATCTCACAAAACCCCATTTTTTTGCTATTTGATAGTCTCAGATCAAGTGCTGCTTGCTGTTATGTGAACACCACCAGATAGTACAATGAGCAAAAAGTTGCCAAATACAATTAGCAGCTTTTACCTGTCCTAAATCTGTAAGTAAAAAAATATTACTAAAACACCTGAAGAAAAAACAGAGTTCATAGACACTGAATGTGAAAGCAGATCTCAATCAAAACTGTGTCATGTTACAATTCCTGGTTTAATATGCTCTTGTGAATAAATATAGGGAGTTTACATTACAGATGTACTTGTCTATAATATACTGAAGTAACTGAATTGCTCCAAACCACAATAGCTTCTCACAGCAAAAGAGGATCACAACTCAGTGTCACTCTTTCTCCTAAATCTCATGCTACAGAGTGCCTCAAAGGGTAACCCCACTAGGTACAACCTAAGACAAGCATATTGAAAACATAAAAATCCAATACTTTGTTTCTAAACAGCAAAAAGGCTTTAGACTTAGAAAATACCTCTAACAGAAGGACCTCAGACCTGTGGGGTTTTCTTTATTATTTCTCAGCAAATGAGAAACAAACATTTTTCTAAAGGCAACTGAAAGGATGACATTAAAGCTCCAAGCCTTCTTAGACACATTTAGCTAGAGAGAGATGCTTAAATCTTCTTCCTGCCTCTGTAAGATCCTAATTTTTAACTTTAGGATAGCAGAGGAGTCAGCAATAAAATTTTAAAAGAGCAGTGAAAAAATTTACCCTGTATATTACTCTCAAGTTTGAACCACAGTTAGCAAAATACAAAAAATCCACCTGGGTTTTATTCATGCAACTAAGAAACAAAAACACAAAATTCAGAGCAAATTCAGTACAGTATTTTAAATTTAATTTGTATCATCAAACAAGAAGTAATAATCCAGTTCAGATTCAATTAAGGAATTGTATTTCCCCATGGGTTTTTGTCTTCATTTTCAGATGTCATGTTTTACTCTCATGCAGACCTGTTTTTCTTGGGGAAGACAAGACTGCCCTAATCCTTTTGTTACCTGCTGGGAAGGACTTGAGTCCATGTGTACCTGCATTTCAGGCAAGCTTCAAAGCATATGAAACAAACTGTCATGAAATGGTACTCAGATACACACCAAATCAAACCTGAGCAAGTCAGCAGGAAAAAAAATTGTTTCAGTTTCCAAGTCCTGCAGCCCAGTGGCCAGAGAGCTTTCAGCACTAGATGGCACAGTCTCACAGACTTGGGACCAGCAGGGAAATGATCCTCTAGATCCTGAGGAAAATGCTCCTGAGGATCTCACTCCATCCAGAGGCACCATTTATACCTTTAATTTCTGGAAAGTTGCCACAGAGCAGCTCTGAATTTCTAGAGCCCTGTATGTGTATGATATACTGAAATTATCTGATATACAGCTGGCAAACAAAACTGAAATACTCATCCAGTGTGAAAAAAGGCAAATAGAGTGTTCTTCCCCACCTGCTCCTTCACAGTATTATTTTGAATTTTAGCCTTTAAAACCTTAACACAAGCACAGACTGTGATTTGGACACTCAAAATGGGTGATGCACTTAAACATCACCACAGGAAGGAAAAAACCCAAAGCCACTAACCTCTATATCTGTTTGAAAGTTAAAAAGGTCTATTCTTTGCCAGTTGCTTCCATCCAGAGCTAAAACATTCCATGCCTACAGAAAACAAATACAGTTTATTACCTTCAGTTTCCTCTTGGCAATTCAAATGTAACAAACTGAAACATAACACAATACACAATTTTAGGGACATTTTAAAAAGTATATAAATATAAAAAAAATACATTGTGGACATTTGTAATCCTACAATATCAACTAGTTAAAAACACAGTATGTGGAAGCAGATCATAAAACATGCAGGAAAATAAGAAATAATATGAATTATCTACATGGACACAGCAAGATTTAACCCTCCATTTTTAAAACAGCTTTTGTAAATTTGGCTCTTAAGTTACTTTTACTAGACCTATATGGAGAAAAGTAGCTGCAGATGAGATTCCTTCCAACAAAACCACTGGCTAATATTCTGAGAGGAAAAGAAACCTTTCAGAAAACTGCTGACTTTCCACTGTTAGGCTCAGGCCTTTCCTTTACATGTGCTAGGTTTGAAAATTTGTCCTTCAAAGGAAAGCAAAATAAAAAAGCCATAGAAACACAAATATAGTAAAAAAATAAACGTGGAAAAAAATATACTGCATCCAACTGACAGGTAGTTCTGAGGGAAAAACAACTTATTCAGTCAATTTGGCTTTATTTCACAGTTTTCTAGGCTTTAGTTGAAGGTTGTAACAAAACCTGATGTTAGTTGACTCACAAAACTTACTGAAGTTGCAGGCCAGGGTGGTAACGTGTGTAGGAATGAAATAATTGCATACTTAATTATATATTAAACAAACAAACAAGAAAATTCCAACTAACAAACAAAAAAAACAGCAAACCAAAACCTTATCTTCATTCAGAAAAGCATGAAATAAAAGGTTCACTCATGTCATGTAAGAATACACTTCATTGAATGAAATAGTTACATACTTAATTATATATTAAATAAACAAACAAGAAAATTCCAATTAACAAACACAAAAAAAAACCCAGCAAACCAAAACTTTATCTTCATTCAGAAAAGCATGAAATAAAAGGTTCACTCATGTCATGTAAGAATACACTTCATTGTACACATTTGATGCAGAGACAGAATATTGCTTATTCCAATTCAAGAAAAAAAAATCAAGATGAGCTAAACATAAAAATTTACTTAGTGTGCTTTCAGTACCATCTTCTGTGTGCCTCTTCCCTCCACTAGCAGTCCATCTACTTCACACCTTTTGTGCTTGGCAAGCAAACGATGGATCTACTTAGACACATGGTGCACATTAACTGAACTACATGGAATTTTAAGCAGAAAATGAGTCTGAAAAACAGTGTTACACAGCCCCATGCCTTATAAAAATAAATGCCATCGTGTCAAACTGGGCTTAATCCTTTCTCCAGATATAGAGCAGACATGACTGGATATCTTTTCCATAGCCTTTAAACAGGAGTTCAGTAACTAAGCACAGATCTGAACCCAAAACTGGACCCACTGCTTAGTTGTTTCCATAAACAAACAGAGAACAATTTGATTTGTTTTGACAGGAAGCAGATTGCCCCAAAACCCATAATTTGTGTGTAATCAAGAGAACAGCAACCCAAAGAACACCAAAAAACTCCCAACAGAAACACATACCTTGGAAACTTGTGCACACCGACACAATGTAACTATGTCCAAGAAAGAGAATATTCTAGGAAGAAAGGAAAAGGACAACAATTAAAATATTTCTTTATAAATTCAAATTAATGCATGGATTCACAGCTCTGCAGTTGTATGAGAAGACACCAGTTTCACAAGAAACAATTTAAATGCAAAATTTCTAAAGGGATTTCATGGTGACTACCAAGTCTGACACGGTCAGCATCTTTTTTTTTTATTTACTCTGCAAGAAACAACTACAACTGAAAATTTAGCTTTATTATTCTGATCATGGAACCAATTCCTCAAGGCTGCCAACTCAATAGTTTTCTGAAAGAAATTTCTCACTGTCAGAATGAATTTTGCTAAGGATAACTTCCAAACAACAATGAAATTGCTTCTCAGTGGAAAAAAACCCTGTATGCTTAAGCACCAGCTATAGATCCTATTCCACAACCATCTTCTATTACAGAGACTAAAAGATACAAAATATATGAAAGATGTTCCTGTAATTCACATATAAACTGTTACCTGCTTGCCAATGAACATTTTCAGTCATCAAAACAATGAACACTAATAACAACAGTAATATATGAACACCAAGGAGCAAATAACTGGTAAGAGATGTTGAATTTAATAATGTAAAATTCTGTTTACTATTTTCCAAGTGGAAATCAGAAGCTGGAGCTCAAAATGGACACCTACATCTTAAACCCTGTGATTTTTAGAGTAAACAGAAGTACATCTTACACATAAGAGCTTTGTGGGTGCTTATTATGATCACTTCAGATATTAGTTTTCCCTTATTTCACTGACAGATGAAAATATTTTGTTTCACCCTACAGTAATACCCATTCTCAAAAAAGAACAATCAGCCCTGCAAACAGAAGGACAGACACTTTCAGAAGTTATGAAACAATCTGTAAAACCCTGTGGGCAGCATTTCTGTGGATACCCTCTTCTGCAGTCACCCTTCTCCCTGCCATGAGGCAAATGGCAGATGATGAGCCCCAGGAGATTACACTAGAGAGCTGCAAAAGCTCCCTGGCTTGTAGAGGCTTCCTGACAGTACCACAGTCTGAGTGGACTCAGGATTATCTCAGATTTACAGAAGCTGAAGCACAGAAGACACTATTATTTACATTGTTATTGGTAACAAAGAATGAAAGGGTTGTGACAAACCATTTCAGGACACTAACTGAGGAATGGGACGTGCTTTAGAAGTGATGGATCAAGTCCTGCTGCAATTAGAACAAGAAATTCTACCATGCTGAATAAAGGGTGTATTTTATACACCCCCACTACTCTGAGTTGTCTGGCAGTCTGCCTTCATACTTGATTGTTTATTACTGGTAAGAGATTAAGGTTGTTGCATGATTTTTTGAGGAAAAAAAAAAGTAAATTAAAACCAAATGCAGAACAGATGTATTTATTTTTGCTCCATTCTATACAAAGTGATTTTTTAAAAGTCAAAAACTAGAAGTGGTCATTCTGTGCAAATTTAGTAAGTGTAAACATTCATGCCATAGACGTGGCACTTCAGGGCACGGTTTGGTGGTCATGGTAGTGTTGGGTTGATGATCTTAGATGTCTTTTCCAACCTTAATGATTCTGTGATGCTTTTATTTTTTTAATTTTTATTCTAAAGAAGAAATGTTCTTTCCAGGTGGTCTAAGCTGGCTCATCAAAAGAGATAACACTAAGTACACTGCAACCCAGCAAAATCAGAATTATTATTATTCAATTAAATACACAACAGGTAAGTGATGCCACTAAATCCTTGTAGAATTCCAAAGACTTATTTTGCCACTTTGCTTGTAAGCATTTTTTCCACACTTTTCTATTTATTTTTATCCTCTGTAGTACAGTCTTACCTGTGCATCACTAACACACGCTTGCCTCTCTGCTTGCAGTGCCACAGAACTACCAGCAAATTCTTACCAGGCAGGGAAACTAGCCAACAAGACACAAGACTGTAAGGTTTAAAGTCATATTAAGTTCTTGAAAGGCTTTGAAGTCTTTCAAAGTCTTTAAATGCCACCAGTAAACTGAGGCAGAGATGGCAACACTGCCACTGTCAAACATCTGGCAGTGTCAGAGTGACACTGGCTGGCACTCAGGGTGAAGGACTATGGCAGCAGGCATTTGTAAGCTGAAAAAGTGGAAAAAACTACCAAGCAGGCAGCTGATGGTTTTATAGCACTGCTGTCCTCTACGACCATAGCTACAGAGATGCAGCCAGCAGCAGGATTAATTTCCACTTAAGTCTTTGGCAGGGATTAGCACAGGGAAACTGGAAATTAAGTTAATAGATGCACAGTGAAGTTGAGGATCATCTGTTCTGATTTCCAGTGTCCCAGGCTATTAAATTCTCTGTGGTCATCCTGTGCCCAGCTCAAGGAGAATCCTCTTACCAACCATCAGAGCTCTGCAAGACTTTTCACCCCAGGCACACACCACTCTGGACACATGCCTCCAAAGTGTGGCTCTGGAGATCTACTGCTGTTAACAGCCCCTGCAGCCCAGAGGAGCTCCATGCCCAAGGCACAAAGGGTTGCAAATCTTAGTTCCTCAACCCCTCATGGTAAATCTGTATTCACCTCAAGCCTAACATCCAGAAAAGGATCTTTTTTTGATTTGAAAGCCTTCAAGAGATGGAAAATCACCACCTCCCCTGGTAGTTTGTTCCACTGGTTAAGCACTCTGTTAAAATGTTTGCCTTGTTTCCAAGGTGAATGTCTGACTTCCAGCTTTATGCTTTTTTCTACTTTTCCTCACCAAATTAAAGAGTGCTTTAGCAGTTAGTACTTTCTCCTCAACGAGTTTTAAAGCCACTTATCACGTCATCTTTAATTCTTTTTAACAATCTTTTCACTTCAGTTCTTTAAATCTCATTTTCTCTGCATGTTATTTTTCCAGTATGTTTCTTCAGATGTAGACAGCAGAAGCATGTGCAGCATTGAAAAATTTATTAGTAGCAACAAAGCTGTGCAAAGACAAAGCATTTCACTACCCCCACTTTCAGAGCTATTTCAGGCCACTGCAACAGCCTTTTGGGCACAGCAGCACACAAGACTCCTACAGTATCTTACCCCTTGCAAACCCGCTCTCAGGAAAGTCCTCTGCATGTTAGTACCAAGGAACTGCAGTATGGAAGAGTAAAGAGCACAAGTATCCCAGAGAGATAAAGCACAGCCTTTGCAGATTGGATTTTCCTCTTTCAGCAGGCTTTTCCCAGAATTTTCTGGAAGAATGCCCAAGCATACTCTCTGAACAAGTGACAGGGGAACAGAGCACCGGCCACTCTCAGTTCACCACCAACCATGTTTGAACACAGTCACAAGTCTCACAACTGCCACAGAAGCTGTCTTGTGTTTCTCCTAAACCACCATATACAGTAAATAAAAACATTACTACAATTCTTTATATGTGGAATTCTTCTCTTCTCCCTTTGCCCTTTGCATTTTACTCAACACCCTAGTTATGAGGCATCTCAGCAGTAACTTTAGTCCACCAGTAAGTAGAAACACCACAGTAAAGATACTCAGGCTAGAAAACACACAGATAAGCTGAATAATTCATAGCTGTAATCTGTAAAAATGGAACTTTGCACGCATAAGCTTATATCTATATGATTAAAGTAACAATACCAGTGCTGGTGCACTTCCAAACGTCATCAGTTTTGCTGGTAAATTCCATTAATACCTTAATCAATAAAACCACATAATAGTTGTCTTGGAAATGCAAATGGTGAGGGGTATTAAAAGCTTAAGGAGTCAGACAATTTTCTAGTTAAAAGTATTTTTTAGCTCATGTCTGGCAGGCTGGTTTTCAGCAGCATGTCACAAGAGACTCACAAACACCAATTCCTACATGAAGCACACATCCACTGACTCGTCTAATGCTTCACCTTCCAGGACAATTATTTAAACAAATCCCTTTTCACTAGGGATGTGCTGCCTTCTGAAGCAAAGCACCTAAACTAGACACCCTGTGAGACACTCCAAAACTTTCCAGCAACTTTTCCCCCTACAATTTCCACTTGTACTACTCAGGCTCAATGTCCTTCTAGGCATATCTACACACCAAGACTTTCAATAACAAATGTGGCACCAAAAAACGTTTCTTTACAAGTCAAACCTCCTTTTCTTTTGCCAAGATGCTTATTGGCAGAGAATCCTTACAGAGGTATTAGCAACTGCTAAAGAACAGGCTGTCTGCAGGATGCCCAACATCTGCTTTCAGTTGGAACAGAAGTCAGCTTTCTCTGCAACCAACCAGCTCCACTCTAGTTATAGGGCAGCATCTACCTTTTTATGGCCTATGCATTACATGCAAGATCATGTTACTCACTCCTGAAATAAAAAAAATTACTTTTTTGTAAAGTATGTCTGTATGTTAAACAACAGCAACATTTTCAGTGCCTAATTCTCTCAGTATCTGAAACAAAGTGCCCGTTCTGTTTAATTTAGCCCCAAACACACAGCATCCAGCAACTACATCACATGGTGACTTCTTCTGCAGGATCAGTTCTGCAGCTAACAGATACAATGACCTTATGCAAATCGTGGAGTAACTTCAGTCTGAAAATTAAATCCAGCAGGTAGCACATGAATAAATCCCCGTTGCATCTCTGATTTATATTTACTCAGCTATTAAAGATGTATAATGCAACTTCAAAGCTCATATTTTTGTAGACTTTTAGAAGTTAAAAATTGGGACACAAAGTTTACATACAGTAAATGTCCAAGGAAAGTTCAAACCATGAAACAGATGTTATCAAATGCTTCACAAAAGGTCAGATAGATGCTAGAATGTTTCAGCATCCTTGCTCAGCTCTCTCACTCAAAATAGTTGGTGGCTTAACAATTTTGAGCAGTTGTCTCATTGCATTGATTATCCTGATTCATTTAATAGCAAGACACAAGAATCGTAAGCAGAAAAAAAATGTGATGACTGTTATCAGAAGAAAATCTTAATATTTAACATCATGAAGTCTTTACTATTGGTTAGGAATGTCACTGCAGTGATTCCAAAAGGGAAGCTGAAGTA